AGGGATTTGAAGAACCCCCTGACAGCACAAGTTAAGTCCTGCTGCTTCTCAAACACTGTCTGTAAGAAGGAGATAATTGGAGTAATCAGATCTCTCCCCTAGTCTCCCCTGAGGAAGGCTGCAGATATTCTGGGGTGCTCTGTCCACCACAGCTGGGCCAGATATCTGGGCCACACATCTGGGTCACATCTTTGGCATTAAAACACTGCCCCGGGAACTGGGAGGACTTATTCCCTCCTGGAGATGTTCTCTTTCTTTTTTCCCTCTTTCTCTGCTCTCTCTGGCTCTCTCTCTCTCTTTTTTTCTTTGTTGTTGTTGTTTGTTTTTTGTTTTTTTGTTTGAGGTAGGTTCCTCTCTCTCTCACCTGGGCTAGACTGTAGTGGTATCATCATAGCTCACTGCAACCTCAGACTACTGGGCTCCAGAGATCCCCCTGCCTCAGCCTCCTGAGCATCTGGGAGACACATGCCACCATGCCCAGCTAATTTTTCTATTTGTTTTATTTTGTAAATAAAACAAATTTTTCTATTTGTCTCACTCTTGCTCAGGTTGGTCTCAAAGAGACCTGACCGCTCTCAAACTCCTGACCTCAAACAATCCTCCTGCCTCAGCCTCCCGAGTAACTGGGGCTACAAGCACATGCCATCACACCTGGCTAATTTTCTTATTGTTCATAGATCCTCCCACCTTGGCATCCCAAAGTACTAGGATTCCAGCTTGAGTCAGCCATGGGGTCTGGCTCTAGCTATTTCCATTATTACTTCTTTCTCTCTGCCAGTCTCTCCTTCCGTGTGATTTTTCTCTCTGCCTATTTCTTTCTCCCTAGTATCTTGCTCTCCTTCTATCTCTGCTTACTTCTATCTGTCCTTCATGATCATCTTTATTTCTCTCTATTTCTTTTTTCTCTTTTCTCTATTTCCCCCTCCTTCTCCCACCCTTTCTTCCCCTCTCTGCCTCTTTCTATGTGTTATCTCTCTCCCCTCCCCCTTATCTTGACGGCCCTGTTCTCGGGCTGTCTCGGCCCTGTTCTCGGGCTGTCTCGGCCCTGTTCTCGGGCTGCCTAGCTCTCTAGTTCTCTTTTTACAGCTGCATCTGCCCCCCTTTCTCTGCCTCCCTTCTCTTCCATTCTTCAGCTCTTGGGCTGCTCAATGGGGCCCCTCTTACCTGGGAACTTGCTACTTCCTGCAGGAGGACAGGCAGGCAGGCAGGTGCTGTGGGTGGTTGGAGCCGACCCCCCATTTTATAGTCTGGCAGACATCAGGCCCTATAGTCTGTGGCACAAAGCAGGAGCTGGCTCAGCAGCCCTGGGTGGGCAGAGGGGGACTAGAGCCCCGACCTTGCCTGGGTCACTGCAGACAGCAGCACTTTCCATTGTGTGCCCAGCGCACACAGCAGAAACCCAGGCCACGGCAGCTTCACCTTCCAACCCTACCCTGACTCCTCCCTCTCAATACTCCCAAACAGGGGTGGGCCCCCAAATGGTCCCTGCTGGCTGCCAACATGGGGCAGGGTAAAGGGGTGACCCTTGGAAGAAGGGAATCCCGGGTTTGAATTCTGACTCAGCCACTATGCATTGAGTGGGTGGCTTTTGGCAGGATTTTTACCCCTCTGTGTCTGCAGGTAGGCACAAGTGTCCCTATTGAATGCTGCATGGATAAAACAATGAGTGTAGGAGAAATGTTTTTAAAAGCAGATGAGGAGGCTTTGCACCTGTAGCTCAAGCGGCTAATGCGTCAGCCATATACACCAGAGCTGGCGGGTTCAAATCCAGCCCAGGCCTGTCAAACAACAGTGACAACTACAACCAAAAAATAGCCGGGCATTGTGGTGGGTGCCTGTAGTCCCAGCTACATGGGTGGCTGAGGCAAGAGAATCACTTAAGCCCAGGAGTTGAAGGTTGCTGTGAGCTGTGATGCTACAGCACTTTACCCAGGGTGACAGCTTGAAGCTCTGTTCCCCCTCCCAAAAAAAATAAAAAATAAAAAGCAGATGAGGGTTCACCATCACAGGCTCATTTACTAAGTGCTTACTGTGTGCCAAGTGCAGCAACAAATGCTTTGGCAAGGCCAACTCCATCAATCCCCAGGACAACCTGCTGTATTTGGTACTTTTTAAAACACCCATTTCACAGATGAGGAAAGCTGGGGCACAGAGGGGCCAGAGCCAAACTAAGCTGGCTAGCTCTGGGCTCCTGTGGTTCCTTCTTATGTCATCCAACCTTGGTCTGGCCTGACTTGCTGCTTCTGGGTCAGGGTAGGGATCCAAGTGAAGGTTTCACTGTGCTTAGGTGAGTAGAGCATCCAAGACCTGGGTCCTATCCTTTTGCCCACACTGGGACCCATCCTTTCCTGACCTACGTGTAGCTCCCCCCCAGGGCCCTTTCTCTGACCCCAGGGACGAGCTGTTGGCTGGAAATCTGACTGCCTGCCTTGGGCCTCCACATCTTGTAAGCCCCACATGCCATCATGTCTTATTCCTGGCTGGGCTGGGCGCCTAGCAAAGGACCTGGCACACAGTAGGGCCTGAATTAATATTTGGGGGACTAAATGATTCTTCTAGTGGATATATCAGAAGGTAGGATATGGGGGAGAGAGGTAATCCAAGGTGGGGAAAGAACCAAGTGAGGAGGCTGATGGGGAGAAGTAGAGAGTGACAGAAAGAGAAAGACAATGGCCATAGGGCTAGAGAGGGGTGGAGGGAGGCGGGCAGTGAGGGAGGGACCCAGGGGTACTACTCGGCCAGGGCACCTGCAGTCCAACTCCCCAGCCCTAGGCAGGATGTATGTGTGTGTGTGAGGGTGTCTGTTAGGTTTTGTCTCTTCTTTGGGGATCCAGGCTCCCTGCTTTGAAACCACCCCGACCTGGGGCCAGCTCTGCCTTTTCCCTCCACCCCACCCCCTGGATATCCCCTCACTTCCCAGCCACCCCTCAGTCTTTTATCCTGGGCCAAGGCCTGCGGGGGTTAGGGGAAGGCAGGAACCACAGGATGGGGGCAGCCACTGAAACCAGGGCCAAAATGCCTGTGGTGGGGGCCACCCACAGGTCTGGGATTCAAGACAAGGACATCTGGGGCAGTTCTGTGCCCCCCTTGGCAATGAGCCATCTGCCAGAGGGTGGGAAGTGATACAGGATGGCCCACCATGCTGGGGGTCCACTGGGAGCATTTTACTGCCTGCTCCTGTAATCCTTACTACGAGGGTGGCGTTTCTGAAATTATCGCCCTTTACAGATGAGAAAATGGAAGCAACTCCTTTTACCCTCTCGGCCTATTTTCTCATCTGCAGAACGGACTTGGGACTCATATCTTTAAACTTCTGGACCCACGGTCTTAAAATCTATGTACGCCTTGATTTTTTTTTTTTTTTTTT